GTGTGTTTGTGACCATGTGTGGTTTTGTAAATGTGTGGTCGTGTACGTGTGTGGTATGAACATATGTGCTAATGCACATGTGAATTTTCTTTGCGTGCGTTTGTGTATGAGATATTTTTGTTTTCTGTGTGCATTTTACATGGTAGGAGCACGGTGTCGCCCATGTGTGCGTATATATCGTTATGTGGTCGACAAGAATTTTTTATATAAAATCAGCGTTTATAAGGGGCAGCTGTTATCATCGTTCGGACAGGGGAATTATACAGAGATATCTGTACGTGCATGCGCTTCTGAATCATATTGAGACGGTCAACCGTAACTCGGAAGAAAGCCTATTCTTTAGATAGTCTGATCTATTCTCTACCTACATGTCTAAGACGGTCTATGTGAAATTTGCGCAGGCGATAGAAGGATCCTTCAAACGACTACCGACACACACGAAGCGCAAAAACGCACATATATATATATATATATATATATATATATATATATTGATATCTGTGAATAAACCCCATTCTAAAAATAGACTGCCCTCTTACCTATCCACACCAGCAGACGGAGCGTCGACCGTCGATGTGACGCTCTCGCAGAAGATCGGAGAGATGTTCAAGCGCCTGCCAACGTACAAAAAGCGCAAGACATCGTCGTCACGAAAGATACCACCCCCCCACACCACCACCAGAAGTACCCACGACACGGAAACCAGTGGCAGTGTTCAATTGGTTAGGGCGTCAAGCACGGGTGTAACGCCGTACACGCCTGACGCTGAGGATAGCCCGTTGGGGCACTCCGAGCTGGGCGACGTATGTGTGTTTTAGTGGCCGGGTTGTGAACAGGATTTGAGTCAGACCATGCGTGTGTGTGTTTGTGTAGTGTTTATCGTACAGTCGCTGGTTGTATGCATATACATTCGGTGTGCCACAGTAGAGACATCATTCACGACTGATGCTGAGGATATCGCATTGGCGAGTTCCGATTAGATGACGTTTTTTTATGTATATTTTTTGTGTATCTGTGTATGTGTATCTGTACCTGTATCTGTATGTGTATCTGTATGTGTATGTGTATGTGTATATGTATGTGTGTGTGTTCTAAAGTTTAGTGTATGTGTGTGTGTGTGTGGTGTGTGTGTATACGTATGTCTAAGTGTGTATATATGTGTATGTTTACGTGTGTATTTATAGAGAATCGGTTCGAAAATTGCTGAATGTTCTACGTCCACCTACGCACTGCCACGCATCCCCATGTTTGTTCAAGAAAACACGAACATACCAATGTGAACAACTATACCTAGACTATAAAAGGGAGCGTTTGTATACCCGGGCAAAGCGTTGTGTGCGGATTATCTGTAGGCTGCAATACGTGGTCACAAAGTCAAACGTTGGACAGGACTTGTACGTGAACTGCAAAACGTATTCATACCGTCCGGAGATGTGGTGGTTGTACTTAAACTATAATCCATTATCTCGCAATCCAATCCGTATTATTAAATGCAAAGTACTCTGCGTGTTTATACAGTCCGGTGATGTGGTGTATGACGATATTGCTGGACGCGAAAAGATGAATCGGCTGAAAGACGACCGCAGGAAAGCGAATGCGCGCTTCCATTTGAGGTATATGTAGATTATGTTGTGTTGTAGGTATCCGTAGTCTAGGTTTGGGCGGATTGTTTAATCGGGATGTGTGTGAATACTGCTTTCCATGCATGTGCTGACTATTACCCTAGACCCTAAAAACGCTAAACCCTAAAATCCCAGAACCCTAAAAAAAGTCATTGTGAATCTGCGAATTAGTTCGCGTTCCTAGAGATAAATGGGTTGGATTGGGCGTTAGCTTCGAAGCGCAAATCGCATGTGTCTGCAATCGTTTCTTTAGTCTATCGCACTTCTTGGTACATGGTGTGCACTATACACCCATCAACGCAGTTATCTTTGTTGGTGGTAGACGGTTGACACTGTGCCTGCTCTCTCTCCCTCTCATACTCTTTTTGCGCCAGTGCTTTCTCAACGGACGAGAAGAACAAGTTGATCAACATTCTCGAGCCATTGGGCATTAAGGTGATTCAGGGCGAAATCTACGAGCCGTCGTGCACGCACTTGGTCGTCAAGACACCCAGTGGGAGTGAGAAGTTCCTTGCGGGTAGGTTACCATGTACTGTTAGTATATATATATATATATATATATGTATGTATGTAAATATATGTATATATATGTATAT